ATTCAGAGGATCTGTTCATTCTCCTAGGCATTACAGTATAATGTTCCACGGGGTAAGAAAAACCGAGGATTACTAACCGTATTAACATACAAAAATCTAGTCAAAAGTGAAATGTTAACACCGGAGAATATTAAATTAGCACAGTATTTGGGTTGGTGTGTAGAAATGGTAAACCTGTTTACTTTATTTTAGTTTCGATTTAATTTGATATAATTATTTTGTTGTAGCTGCAAAGTTTTCTCATCATTTATGATGATATAATGGATGCTAGTACCACTCGTCGCGGTCAACCATGCTGGTATAAAATGGAGAACGTTGGGCTCACTGCTATTAACGACGCCATTATGATTGAAAATGGCATTTACACTTTACTCAAGAAGCACTTTGGTCATTTGAGTTGCTACAATGAACTACTAGAATTATTCCATGAAATAACTTTTATCACATCTTGTGGTCAATCATTGGATTTGCTTAATTCAAAAAACAATGTCACAGCATTCACAATGGATACTTACAAATCAATCGTTGCAAATAAGACTGCCTACTATACATTCTATTTACCTTTTGCCTTAGCTATGCATTTAGCTGGGTGAGTTACATCATTTTATCTTTTTTTTTATCGAAATCGGAGCTGTGAATCAGTTCTGAACTAGAACTTTTTACTTTTGTGCGTAATTGAATCAAACCACAAACCAAATCAGCAATTTCTGTCTGGAATTGTTGATACGAAGTCTATATAAAATTGAGTTGGTTGTTCGAAGTATCACAACTCTGAACCAAACCAATTCAACCAAAAGATTAAAGCAATTCACAACCCTGCTCAAAATTTTAATATAAATTTTATAATCATTTGCATTCACGTCTTTCTTACTTTTCAGTTATAAGGATGCGGAAGCTTTTCGCCAATCTAAAACGATTTTGCTGGAAATGGGTCATTTCTTCCAAGTACAAGATGATTTTCTGGACTGTTTTGGCAATCCGGAAGTAACTGGTAAAATTGGAACAGATATACAAGATAATAAATGCTCTTGGTTAGCTGTTGTCTGTATGCAACGTGCCAACGATGAACAAAAAGCTATTATGGCTGAATGTTATGGAAAAACAGGTATACTTATATTAAAGCAATTTATCTTATAATTTAAATATTAGTAATTTAGATTTATCTGTTCAAACAAATAATTTAAATTTATATAATTTAAATATACTAAATATAGTATTGATTGATTGAAATTTTAAGAATAATAATACTATACGCTATCTATTTTTTAGATCCTGAAAACGTAGAACGAGTAAAAGAACTATATAAAGAATTGGGCATACCGAATACTTATGCTACTTACGAAGAAGATTCTTATAATATGATCAAGACACACATTCAACAAACATCTCGTGGCGTGCCACATGAAATTTTCTTGGAAATTCTTAATAAAATTTATCAGAGAGCTTCATAAATTGTTAGTGCCTCATTTAAAAGAACTAATCATTGCTTCTTCAATAGTTAGTAGGTTTTTATATGTATATAAACATACAACTAAAATTTTTATATAAAACGCATGCTTTAAAACTGATTTTATAGTTTAGTTTTTAAGACTACAATGTCAAATACAAGAGTCGGTATATCCTTAAAGAATTATTATAAATATATATTGTGTGTGATTATAATTAGAATTTATTTTATGTTAATAAATTTATTTAAAATCTATTACATTTGTAATTGTAGTTTATTTTAGTTATAATAATGTAAAATCATATTCTTTAAATTTTTCGCGAAAATCTTTGACTAATTCAATTTCTTCATTTTTATCTAAACAGCAGTCTTTCCAATTTACTTTATCTTCGCAATCTAATAAATTAGGTGCACAAAACACATCTCTGAAAAAAATAGATTTAAAAATTTTTTTAATGCCATTAAACATAGATATGTAACTATAATTACCTTGCAAAATGTAATGGAAAATGATTCATATTTCGCGTCAACAATGTTTTGTCTGGTAGTTCCGCTACAAAATAAGGTCCCTGAGATGGCAACATTTCTGGTGAAGTTAATTCTGGCAAAGTTTCAAATTCTAAGTTATATTCTTCTGCTTTGTCCTATTATAATGAAAATAAATTATGTTAATGGTCGTAGATTAATTAAACTTATACGGTTGTTTATAAAATAGTTCAATCTATTTTATTAATGTGTATTATATTGCAGTCTAAATATTAATAGGACCTCTGGTAAGAATTTTGAAGATTTAAAAATAAATTTAATGATGAATGTGCACCTCAAAGTTAAACTTTGAGGAGTAAACTTAATGGTATAATATACTTTTTAGGTAATAAAAGCAGTTGTTCTACAATTTCTAGACAAACGGAGTGAAATGTGTTCCCTGTGGACGTTATAATTTCAGTGAGTATGGTATGTGTTGCTTAGTCGTTGATGAAAATTCCGAGTATTGTTGTAACCAGCAAGTATCTACTTTGGTTACGATGCGAATAGATAGTGGTGGCATGAGAGAGAAAATAATATTAGGATTAAGAATGAGTGGGATTAAATTTGAAGTCTATCAGTATCAAGACACAGACACCTAGTCATTTCTCAAGGGGCGGATGCAAAGGTTCCAGGTTGTAGAGCATTAGACCATTAACTCCAGCTTTATTGTGAAACACTACGCCCCATTTCAACTTAAATATATCAACAAATTTGTAAGGTAACTTCCCAAAATTAGTGTTAAAAAATTCTCTTCCAACAAATATACTACAAAACCATACATTAAAATACGACTATATAGTTGACTATCTTCTTTGCTGGGTCACAAGTATCTTAATAAAGCATGTTCATTACATATAAAGAATGTAATATTAATTTGAATTAGTTAAGTATTATACCTCAAAGCTATGTGCCATTTTCCAAGCGCGTGGTTTATCAATTCCTAATGCGTTGATTTGTATATGTGACGACTTATAATTTCTTTCAGTAAAGCACACTTCATGATTGTTTGCCTGAAAAAATTTTCTTAATGCATCCTTAAATCGAGTCAATTCTTCCCAATCGTCTTCAGTAAGTAGAGCAGCTGATTGTATATGTACAATGGACATAATTAATACATGATAATCGTTAATTGGGCCTTTAGCCAATGCCAAATAAAAATGTTCACCCACCGAGATCACTAAATGTTTCTCAACATCCGGAGATGATAGGCAAAACCAACATTTTTCTATAAAATTGTTTAAAATAAAATTTTGTAATATTATTTTTTCTATTGCTATTTACCCTGCGCAATCCCTTGAAACTTTGGGCGCTTTTCTTTGCGATTACCTTTTCCACCACCTCTACGTTTACGATCTTCTTCATTGCCAGCTTGCATATCGTAAAAGTACTGTCTTTTGTCGGACTAAATAGAAAACAAAGAAACTTATTGTATATAATGCATATCATTTATCATATTTGAAGATGTACACACATTTTCATTAGAAATTTTGTAATCGGCAAAATCGATTCCTAGATATGGACATTTAGTTTCATTCGTGGTTTTCTGTATTAGTTCCATAACACGCATTTTATCTACAGGAGTCATATTTAATGCATATATATATTTCTCTTTTGCATTGCCCACATTTGCTAAAGATATAAATCGAGTAGATAACTCTAATTGCGTTGATTGATCAGCTGGTATCCTGTTATAAATATTATGAGATTTTAAACGAATAAAATATTGCTGTAATTTAAAAATAATTAGCATTACCTAAATGGAGCTGGTTCGTTATAACTACCATTATTTGAGCTACAGAAATGATAACGTGGTTTTATTTCTTTACAAAGAAACGAAATCAATTTTGATGCATTTGACTACAATTATTTAACGAATTGTTAATATATATAAAGTACATATTTGTATTTAAATTGAATTACATACATTATTTTCTTGTATTCCGAAAGGTTGTTGGGAAGTCAAAAGAATATCAACACCCTTATACTCACTGGCTGAACTTTTACTAACTAAACATGAATTGCGAAGTGTAATGATATCATCTTTGTTAAAACAGCATTCTTTGTTGGAATCTTTTGATTCTTCAATTCCGCTCAAATAAGCAATTTTAATTCCTGAACTAAGTGTGTAAAGACCGCGCTTACCTAAAATCAGAAAATATAATGTAATAATGAGAAAATATAATGAAATATAATTGAACTAAATAGATTATTTATTACCTAAATAGGTTAAATTGCTACAGATTTCCCCATCCTCAATATCATCATAAAACATTAGATGCTCATTTTTAGTTGGTCCAAGTATATAAGTGGGTACAGCAACTTAAGTAATAAAAATATATTAACGAAAGATAATTTACAATATAATTTTATAAAAGGTTTTTAAAAAAACATACTAATTTTAGCACCATTTTTATATGCTATTAATTTCTCATTATCTTCTAATTTGCCAAAAAAATCTCCAACACAAAGCAACATATCAAATGGCCCAGCTTTTTGATTTGTTTTGTTCACTTTCGTAAAAAGCTGATTGAAATTCCCGCAAACATCTCCTGTTACCAAACTACAGCAAATAATATTGATAAATAAAAGTACCCATATAAATAATAGTATTAATAGACTTACATTTTTACTTTCGTATCCATTTAATTAATTTGCAACAAAATTAATTTATAAGCATAAATAATTTTTTGTTTGGTCTCAACACACAAAACACGATTGTGTCAGTTTTGACATTTGTCAGTTATTTGCAGAGTTGCCAATATATGCATAATTTATGTTGCATGCACACGAAGTGAATAAACATAAGAAAGTCGAAAGTCATTGCAAAATAGTTTTAATAATAAATTCTATATTATTTATAATTTGAACTTAAACTCATTTGCTTTATATTGAGCCCGAGTAACAACAACATTTTAATAATATGTGATTTAAATTTAAACAAATACTACCACTGAAGCCATTTAGTTTTTCACAATTAAACATAGTAATAGTAAGAAAATTTTAAAATTAAAACCTGTCTCTCATCAAGCAGCAACTTTTTTTCTCTCCCTCTGGTAGGAAACCCTTCCTTGTCTAGAAGGTCCTTGAGTTTGTCCCGAGATGAACATCGTCCAAATCAACGTTAACTTCCTCCATACTCTTTATAGTAGTCTTCAACTACCGTTTCCTTTCGCAGATCTCATTTAAGCCTTGCGCTTCCAGATCCCCCCAACACCTTTTACCGTACTTCGATGAGCGAGACTCTTATGCCTCCACCATGCTTATATACAATCGTTGCTCTCGTGACCTTGATCACGGAGTCTACCGCTTTCCAAATCCTGTGCTTGCGCTATAACCCCACCTACTTCACCTATTCCCAATCTACTTGCGCCTTACCCATGCTTTCTGGCTTAGATATACGTAGCCCCTAGGCAATAAGTCACCTGGACACAATAATTTGTTTTCATTTCTACTTTTTAACACTGATATCTATATTCTAATAAAAGCATTTTTGAAATAAATTGAAAAAATATATAAAAAATTTAATAATAGCATTTTATCAACAAAAATTTTTAAATAAATTTGTTGTAATACATTATTTACTACTAATTTTTAATAAATTCCATTTTTTATTCGCATAATAAATTAAATAATTTACAAATATATTTTTTTATGTGTGTATGTATAAGATATAATAAACTCAAGCAACAAGTGGCAACATGTGTAATTTTAGGAAAATTTGTACAACTATTTTTTCATATGGATTGAACCAACATTAATAGTTCTTCTTTCAAAAAATTAACATCAGCGGAATTAATAACAGTTTCATTTGTTAAAGTAAAAAGCAGTGAGACGTTTGGAATGAGTCTTAAAAAGAAAAGAAATATTTAGTTTATAACAAATTTAAGATATATATTTTTATATACCGCATATCATAAAGAGTTTTATCCAAATCTGCTTCGGTAAATTTACCACCACTTGATATTACCAAATTAAACTCAGTTGCTTCATCGATTAAACATGATTGTACAAATTCATAAATATCACTGACTCTGTCGTAAACATTGAATGTGCCCTAATTTTGTAAAAACCGAAATTCAGTACTGGCTATATAATATGTGCATCAAACTCACCTGAATATAAATTCCATTCGGAAACTTAACACGGACTAAAGAGTAACGATACATGCGTAAGTTTCTTTGCTCCTCGCGTTCCCGCATTGCTTTTGTTTTAAGCACTTGTGCACTTTCAATAGCTTCACTTCGCAATTGCTGTTCACGCTTGATCTCTTCTGGTGAAATTCTGTAGAAGTCATCTGGAAGTGTTACTCTCCTTACTTGTGATGGTAACAATACTTTAATATTTCGATCCAATTCTAATGGAATGGGTTCTGCGTTCCTCAACGCTTCTAACAAAGTTTGCAAATCGAAATCCGTTTCTGTATGTTCCTTAGACCAAAGTAGAAAAGGTTCACCATCTAATTCAATTTCTTGAAAGCCAGCGGCAAGTAAAAAGTCTAATGCCCCTTCAACATAACGCACTTTTTCACTAAAAATTCTGTAACACACATTCAATTTTAACACTGAAATTCATATTATTTTTAAAACGAATCACCTGTTAGACATTCTTATTTTACAGTACTTTTCATCATCGGGGTGGTTGATAATATTTTCCAGATATTTTGTTAAAGTTTGTATACAATCTTCTGCCTAAAAAATATATATATTATATTAGTTATATATTATAAAAAAAAATTATTGACCTTCTCTTTAGTATTGCAATTATGTATAATTAGACATGCGGTAAGTGCGCGTTCCCCTTCTAACTGTTGGTACAGGAACTCTTTAATTTTTATTTTCCAATCCTTTTTGGGCAATATTTCTTCACTTATTAATGGACAGCGGAAGAAAACCCCTTGACATGCAAGATTTTCGTTTTGTCTAATAGAAACAGTCGAAGTAGTTGCTACATCAGTTTGACTTGATTCGGCAGATCTTAACTTTCTTTCTGCTTCAAGTTCACGCTTTGCTTGAGCTTTGATTGCTGCTAAGGAAGTGTTAAACTCTTTAGAATCCCTTTTATCTACTCGTGCTAATGCAGCAGCAGCTGCTGCTCTTGCTTCTGCGCTCAATTCTTTACGTTTTGGTGGAACGTAAGTATCGCGTGATTGGCGAGATGTTGATGGTTCTGGTTTAGGTGCATTCAATGCATGCCCTTGCCCCATACTGCCACCCAGCTTAAGCTATAAAAGATATAAGCCAAATATTAAATATTTGTTATTATTATTATTATATTTAATTTAAATTAATATTTAATACTTTAAAATATTTCTAGAAACTAAAAAATAATAACAGTTGTGTCAATAAAAATTTTTTTTTAATTTTATAAACCTAATTATATTTATTTGATATACAGCACAGTTAAGTTCTATTTATATAGTGCTTTATTCTGCATTCATCCATTTATTTACCTTGAATGAAGCCTCTTGCTTCTTTTTTAAAAAATATTTCTTAATTTTTGACATTTTAAGTTTTTATATTCTTGGGGAATGCTCTTTAGGAAGTTTTAGATTGGCGACGGACCGTTTAAGTTCTTCGATCTCTTTCAACGTACCTGAAATGTATGTAATTTTCTTAAATATATATATATATATTTATTTATATATATATATCTATATACATATTTATATATATATATATCTATATACATATTTATATATATATTTATATATATATATATTTATATTTATTTATATATATATTTATATATATATATTTATATATATATATTTATATATATATACTTACAATATACTTACTTGGTCGTACAAACTTTTCTGTGATCACTCTACCGTATATGTGCCAGGAATAAGCTATTAAAAGAGCTGTGCTAAAAATGAGTAATAGTACCAATTTCAGTAGGATGAACTGAAGAGGGGTAAATTCAATAGGGCTTTTCCAGCCGCTGCTAAAATTGTATATTTCGGTCTTAAGTAGAATAGATGAATTTACTGCTACGCCTTTAAGAAAATCGTACGAAATTTTAGTAAAATAAAAACTTTCTTCAATAAACGATAAATTCATTTCATCACTTTTAGTTTAAAAATAAAATGTCATTAATGTTTGCTTAAATTTCGTTACATCAAATTTCAATTTATGAAATCATAAAAATTATCCTGCACTTTTTCACCGAATGAATAATCACAGAAAATTTGACGTTTCTCCAGTTTGTGTGTTTAAAAGTGTATTGATATAATTCAAAACAAGTTACAGTGTTGTAAAATTATTTAAAAGATTCTTGTATTAGCAGTGAAGTTTGATTTTATAACGATATCGTATATACAGGGTATTTCAACATTAATTACCTTAATACAACGATTTTGTATATATAAACGATTATTCTAAACTAAGCCTTAGATTAAAAAATATTAACTTTTATTTCGAGCCTTATTATATATAATTATATATAAGTTCTCACTTGTACAAATAAATTTAAATTAAACTGTTTTTAAACTTTTTTTCGGTTTTAGGAGCAATGCCCACTCTTAAGTGGCTTAACGATATATAATAGAATTTTTAACGAATAAAATTATATTATCAAATTCAAATGAAAATTAATGAAGACGTAGCTTACTTTTTATTATTATACAAGTTAGTTAACAGAAATTATTAATATTTAAAAAAAAAAAATTAAAAATATTTGAAATATTCTTGAATAATTAGAATGAGCAGCTTTTCTTTTTCATATCAACTCTTAAAACTTTTTTAAAGCTTTTTTTGAAAATTCGTTGACGTTCGAATTCGCCCAGTTTGACCAGGGATGATATATAACTGTCGCAAAACAATATCATTGCAAACAATGTTACACGTTTTGCTATTTTATTTATGTAAGATATATTCAACTTTAATCACACTTAAGAAACATACGTTACTTACCTTAAGTCATTATTAAGTTGCGACTATTAAATCGGCTTTATTTATTTCTTCAATTTGGTGAACATTTGTTTTAGACAAGTTGTATATGACTTAATTGGGATATCCAAATATATTAATATGGTTAAAAATTAATATTCTTATTTATTTTATATTAAAGTTATTGTAAATGTTTTGATCGTAAAGTCCTTGACCTATTTTATTTAAATAAGAACACATAAACACAAAAATAAATTTGAGTTGAACATGCAATTTTGTCGAATTCCCAATTGCAGGAAACTTTTTTTAATTTTACTAAATTTTAGGGTGTCATCTGTTGCACTTCCCCATTTTATATGCACTTATTATATAATATTGAGAATTGTTGGTTGTTTTTATGTTTGCATTTTCATTGTCTGACTTGGTTCGATTCGTGTGCCAAAAATATATTTTACGTTATCCTAAACAACAGCTGTTGGCAGGATGCGTATAATTGCGCCATAATCATTTCCTTCTTTATCTTTTATACCTTCATACCTTATCTCTTTAGTGTACCGGCATGAATTCTTTTGTTTAATTGAATGGTGTTGTGAAGTTTTTTTTATATTACGAATTTTTGTCTTCCTGTTTTTATCATGCACAATTAAGTCAGATTGTTAGTAATCCTTTTAATTTTAAGGATTAAAGTTGATGTAAGTATTTCTACCTAACAGATCTGTAGGTGATGATACCACACTTCTTTACTATTTTGATTTTTGATTTTATCTAAATCATCTCTTGAACATATAAATGAAGCAAAAATAAAAATGTAACTTATTTTATCTGAAAAATTCATTTAAAGATGTTTGATAGTTTGTTGATAATGAATTATATTATAGGACATGGTGTTTCACACATAACTTAACAAATTGGTCGTTCAATCCAGTAAGCAATTTGATTTAACCAATCCCAGATCGACAAAATATCCAACTATAGCAGTGAGAAATGTATTTATCTGAAGAATTGATTCTACAGGATGCAATAGTGTAGGTGGGATTTTAATAACGAGAAATTATATTAGACAAAATTTTTGTCGTGGTTTTTGTACAATTACTAAATTAATTAAAATTAGAGTTAGAGTGGTTTCATTTTAACAAGAGGTTGTGTTTATATTCACATCCATTTGTATGCAAAAAAGTATACGTAAAAAATGATGTTGTTATTTAATGTGGTTAAATACAATCTGCTCTTAAACTCTTAATTCTTATATAATTTCTTTTTTCATATTTATTTTTTAAAATTAACAAGTGTCTCCAATGGTTTTGACATTTTATTATTAAAATTTATATTGGTACTAAAATATAAACACTAAAACATATTGAAATTGTATAACTTTTATTATCTTCAGATAATATTGTCAAGAAGTGATTTATCTTTTTATGGCCTGAGTAAGCCATTTATAGATCGATTGGATTAAACTACAGT